GTAGGAAAAAGCGCGCTTTTTGAATTTTAATCCTCTGGTAATTGTACATTTAACATTGAATACGCATAGAATACTAATAAGTAGTTAAGTAGACACTAAAATAGTAATATGCTAACTTATCATTGAGTTTGTAAGTTTTATTTAGTCCATAGTACTGATCGAATTCTATTGATCAAACAGTAAGTAATCAGCTTATTGATCTGATCTACTTGACTCAACAAAATGTACATTGTGTATTAGACGTTAAGTCAGTGTGATTCAAGGTAATCTGTAAGAAAGCACAAACATTGACTAGTTCCATTAAAATAATAATTTATATATTTATATATAGAGTTACAGGTCACACGAATGGTTGAGTTGAAGAAGACATTAGTGATCAAAAGATCTTCATTAGTAAGTTATTGAACGAATCAATCAATAGGCTAAATAAACTGGTATAGCTGATCAGATAATCTGTTGATCGTGAGATTAAACAGATTTACACGTCATTGTCAAAACTACACAGTCTAAAAAAAGATTATCAGTCACTCACAAAGTAGGATCTGGTATGTGTGTGCGTGTGTGTAAATCAGTTGAGGTTGCCAGACTCGATCAACACAGAGAAACAGATTAGAAAGCTGATGCCCAAAGTCACGGTAATGGTAGACATAATTGTCGTAATAAAGAAGATCGTACATCTGGAAAGTATGAAACATTAGAGCTTGTAGAAGCACAAAGAATCAATGGTGACGATGAAGGTCAGAGTTGAAACTGTCATGTATTTTTCGTATGTGAATATATAGTTTCTTCGAAATGTCATGTCATGTTTTAGCGGCCAAACCATAACATCGCACAGATCGATGAAGTCACTGACAGGTGGACTGAGTCATGTTGATAGATGTAGGCTATCTGGTTGGGGTCCGCGAGACGAAAGTCACCGATAGTTAGAGACCTTGAACAACATGGCTCAGAATCGTTTTTGCAATGACGCAGGTGCATCCACTCTTTGTGTTCTAGCAAGTTATAGGCTTCTGAATTTCTCATGATCTCTATCTTTCTAACTTTATCTCATTGAATTATACCCTAATCTTCTTCATTACTGCTAACACTTCTATTATCGCTATCAATCTTGTATTTGAACTGACATTTGCGTCTCTGTGCTGATGTGGTAACGCAAGCTGAACTGATGTAGGTACGTACGAAGTTCTGCGTTGTAACTGTCTGTCGAGATGTCATCAAAAAAATGTTGTGGTATGATAATATTTTCAGTGTTTCGATTATGTAACTTACGGATTGCATTTTAACGCTTGTGATAGACATCTGACTGGTTTGTGATTTCTGAATTTCCAGCTCTGTATTGCGGTTAGTAGCTGTTAGAGTCTATTTTACACCATGTTTCTATAAGCTGAAGGTATTTCTTTTTATTATGAGCCCACAATGTGATAAAGTTGAGCTAAATTAGTCAGTTAGTTGCAATGTAGAATCTGGTACGTACGTACATTAGATCAACGTGCCAAACCTCGTTTGAGGAGAGAGATTAAATTTTCAACCAAAAACTAGAGTAGTAGGTGCAGTAACAGTATTAATAGTAGCGGAAACGACAGTTTCTTTGATACGATTCAAGGAGATATAAACAAGTAAATAAGATTAAGAAAGATTACGGGGAGTTCAAAAATTGAGAATCTGGAGGAAAATGAATACACTGTTTCATTCAAACTCTCTAGCCGCTAGTTACGATTATTATACGAAACTCAGTCAACTGGCCCGTACCTGCGAAAACGGACCAGTCCAACTTTCGATAACTTCAAAGATTGGTGTCACGGCTTAGTTTGGCTTCCCGCTAGATCTCTTCCAGCCTACTACCACACCAAACAACTTCAACAGAGGCGATAGTCGGGCACGTGTACGACATGCCAAAACCACCTCAGTTGACTAAGGTTTATTACTTCACCAATCCATTTGCCATCATTAACTAATATCCTATCTATAATCCAAGCATCGCCTACTTAGACCTCTCAGAATGAGGGAGCATTGATTCGAAGACACTGATGATCAAACGCAAGTAGTCTGAGAATATTCTCCATCCTTAGTAGCCATGTTTCGTACCCTTCGAGTGACAGGTGGGTATCTCACCTACACTACAGGTAACGCGATCCCTCGGAAGCCAATCGAGCATTCTGTATCCATGCCGAGATTTCGTTAAACAGCACACTATCAGGCTTCCTGAGATACGCTCAACTACTTCACTTCGTATCACAAGTTTGGGAGCCGAAGCAAATCAATCCTGTGGCAACATTTCGTACTTTGTGGGAGATGATTGGATTCCAAATATGCTAGCACTGTCGCTTAAAGTGATCAGAAGACTGAATTTTGTGAGCGTCCACATCAAATGAAACTATGTCATCTGTGTGTTCTTAGTCAACAAGTGAATCTCCTGACTGAAAAGTCAGACAATGAAAGTGTCCTCTCTAAAATCATGTCTATGACAAAGTTAGATAAAAATGGGGAAAATGAGCAACCGTGAAGAACAAAACTTGACATAATCAAATCTGATGGCAGTTCGTACTAAGCTCTAACTCGGCCAGTAGTATTCGAGTAGAGAGCTTGTATAAGGTTAATGTACTTCTCTGGTACAACTTTGGATGATAGACAGAGCCACAGAACCTCATGCATAGTATAGTCGAATGTCGCTCTACGATGAAGGAATACAACAGTCGCTGGTTGCCGCAAAATGCGTTTACATTACGGAAGATGAAGGAAAGTGAATATTCGGTTTATATATCGATGACGATGCTTGGAAGCAATTTCATGTGTTTTCGTGTTTTACTCTTCCAAAGTTTTAATTTGACGTTACGGTATTATTGGAGTTATTATGTTTTTGACACTATATTGTGATTTTCACAAGATGAAGGTTGTCGCTTCTCAAACAAACACTGACACGGTCAGTGATAGAGAGATTGCATTAGTTTACGAGAGTCTAGGGTAAAATCAAGGGTTAGTCCATTGGAATAAATGTATTTCAATATTCGACTGTAGAAAATAGCTGAAATCACTCACTCATTTGTAAAACAAATTCAATCGCAACTGTGAGATTGATCATTTATGTTAAAATAATTGTATTAGCTTAATACTACTCTGCTTTTCCTACAACGAACACCACACCACCTACACAAGTTTATGCTTATTTGAACTGTAATAAAGAAAGTAGAACAATTATGTCACAGATAACTTAGTCATTTCTAATCCGATTGATTTTTTATTTCAATCAAAACGATTAATTATCACATTCTATCTAGGCACCGTTTTTTTTCGAGGTATGAAGATAGTTCGAGAGCTTGACAACTTCATACAAAATTTATACAGTTTATGTAAAAGCGAGACCTGAAATCATGAATCAATCATTGTTAGGATACCATCAGAAACCTGTAGCACCTCACAGCCGTTTCGCATTGGTGTGGGATTCATCAGTGTTAGTGCGCATCCACGACTCCTGATACTCGCAATCTCTCTCCATAACTCTATGATGAAAAATCGTACAAAGCGATCACTAGTGACTAGATTCATGGGCTAATTCTCGGAGTTCTAGTCAGAAGACGTGAACAGTGAAGCTCGACCCTGTCAGGTGTAGGCAGTAACTACCGAAGACAAAGAGTGAGGTCGTGCAAAATCCATAGGTTGATGGATGTCAGCTCAGTGATACAAAAGTAAGGCTTCGAGCGCAAGACCAAACGCCTTGTCATAAGCCGTATTTCAACTGGCATATTACACTGTAAAAGTATGTTTTCATCGAATATAAACTATAAGAAAAAAAACTTCAGAGCCTAATCTCCATGTACAACAGAATGAAAGTGTGTGTGTACTACTTAATTTCATAGAAACAAACACAATCATCTTACAACTAAACACTACTCATCTCATTTACTAATCACTCATCATATTAATCAGATATATATATATATGTATATATACACCGTCTGCAGTACACTTGTTCGGGACGTCACATCCTCAGAACTCACTGCGAATAGGTCCTAATTTTGTAATTTTTTTCTGAAATTCTGGCATTTATGATTTCACACCAAAGACGCTCACTTTGATCTTCAACTTGCATCCTCCACTAGGGAAATCCTTGACTGCCATTGGTTGATGAGTTATTTAATAACACCATTTTGTGGCTCTCACCAAGAGCGTTTTGTCATTGGATAAAAAAGCTTGAGTTGTGTGCCTATAGAATACATTCTCTCTACTTCTTATCAAGACTTCTTACTCTAGTTAGCGGTGCCTGGAACGATCAGTCAGTCAGTTACAATGTGGAACTTCGTACATGAGTTCAGGTTGCCATACCGCACCAGCACATAGACGCAACTGTTACCTTGACGTGGTGGACATCCTTGCCGATAGTTATGACCCAACCAAGGTATATTGCCTGGAACATATGTTTCTGTAGGTTCTACCGTGCAAGGCAGGTCGATTGGAGAACGATGAGACTAAAAGCATCTACCCAAGGTCTGAGGGCGAAGTCGTACTTCTGACTGTAGACAGATGCGACAGTAGTAAGGTGTTTCCCTCGGATAAGCAGCCTCTGCAGCGATGATACTGCCTTCTCACAAGAAGGAATGATTAGAAGAGGTCGACCCTAAAAATGTCACACATCACCTTACCTCACGGATTTCCGTCTTCGGAGGTAAGGCGGAGCTAATACTTTAAAAACTTCTCATAAAAAGGCCGTTCGTGACCGTTGTCCCAAGCCTCAAGGTCTCTAAGACCAACTCTAATCTACCTTCCACGGTGTGCACAGCCAGGAATTAACATCCACCCTCATACCCGTAACAACACGAGACACCAAATTTGGTGTCACAAACAAATCCTTCCTACACCTGAAATGATCGGATTAGAGTAGCCTATCGGCTCACTCCATCGTTGATCTTCCTTTCGTTTATCCAGTACGGTGAATTCGTAATACACATTCAAGCATATATCATCAACACTACACATTAACACAAATAAGAAGAACAACATACACATAGTAAGTATCAAGAGGAAGAAGATATTTGTATTCCGTAAAATACAAAAAATTCACAAATCACATTATTAACCACTTGATTATCAGAAGGAGAAAAAAATTAGACAAATGAATGAATATTCAATACGTCAAATAATACAACATGAACAACAGCAACAAAACAAAAGTAAATAAAAGTAGAAAGCATTCTGATCACAATTCTTCGACAGAAAACCATTGGAACCACAATGAGCTAGCTGGTTATACGAGTTGAAATGCCCATTGTGTATAACACTCTATAGGTGAGTGTGTAGTCTGTGCACATGTAAATGCAGATATACGTGTGTGTTTGTGTATTGGTGTGTATTAGTGTGTATGCATCAAGTGACCAGTCCACATGTATGTGTTTTGACACATGACAGTTCTGGGGAGTCAGATAAGGAGCACACAATTAGTGATATATACACAAAATCACATAGGAACTAGATACAGTAAACAGCATTCACACACCAAATAGATAGGCAGATAAATAGATAGACAGAATGATCGATTCATTCAACAGGACTCTTCGTCAGTAAGTCATCCAATCAGTCAATGCACTGTTCCACAAATTCCAATAAACGACGACCATAGAATTCCGGTTTCACAGAACCACCATCTGAACCATGTTTCACTGTTTTGTAAGTTTGAGCTGTACGTTTACGCATTCCATAACGAGTTAGTATATCGATGATAGCCACAAAATAGATTAGTGGATGTGAGGAATCTGGAAAAAAAACAGACAATATGCAACAGTAACACAATAACAAGATTAGACAACATTATAGTTCATGTGAATAGTAACATTTCTCATCAATATAGAATGACTACTTTTACTATTGAAGCAATGCTGTTCACGTACTACACTCGAACATCAGTTATTCATCGCAATTTCACGAACAACCACATCTTCAATCACTGGTACAGTCGTCTCTCTCTGTGTCTACGTGCGTGTAGGTGTTTACTATCCTGCTGAATACAAATCTCGGAAAACAGTCGCGTCCACATGTACACACACAACATTATACAACGTTCACAAGAAATCTCCTATCTACTGACCAAGCGATCTCAATCCTACTCACATCGAATCTGCCTCTTTCAAATAGTTGATCGACGAGAACTGCGACATTGACGTGATGATCCAACCGTATTGGCTGAATTCTTTGCAACACAGTGAATCTAATCACAGAACATGTTGGTGGCTGGGACATGTATTGCGTATGCCTATCCACCGACTGCCTCGTCTAGCAATGTTTTGCGATGTAGGAATAGGTTGGAAGAGAGTTAGGGGCGGCCAAACCAAATCATGGCACAAATCCATAAAGTCACTGACAAGTGGATTGAGTCATATTGGTAGATGTATACAACCTAGTTGGGGTCCGTGAGATGATAGTAATCAATGAGTGATATGACTCAAAATTGTTCGCAGTGGCGCAGGTGCATCCACTCATTGCGTTCTCTCAAATTCTAATCGTCCGAATTCCTGATCACCTTTATTTTTTTCTTTTTAAGTTCATTTCAGTAGATTCTACTTCTTGAATAATTTCTCCGAACCTTAATCTTCTCCATTACCGCTAATACTTCTACTACCTCTGGCTACTATGAGATTTGAATTGACAGTTGCATTTTTGTGTGCTAATGTGGTATGGCAACTTGGACTGGTGTACACGCATCCGAAGTTCTACGTTGTAACTCACTGAATGACTAACAGAACACGATGAGTTTCTACTTTACACTTTATCAATTCAGTTTCACTGGAGACGTCCTCATTTGTTGCAGTTGTTATTTATAGAAACCACAGTGAATGTTTCACACACAGTTAACAAATCTAAAACATCATCTACTTCATTTCAAACAAACACAGAAACACAAAATATTCTCTTACCAATGGAACTTTTAATTCCATAATGTTCTATAGTGGGATGTAATTCACCTGAGAATAATTGAGGTAGACATTCTACACCAGGTGGACTATCGGGTGGAGTTAATTCACCTGAAACGAGACACACAGAGAGAGAGAGAAAGAGAAAGTACATGAAGAGAGTGAATCAAATACACAAACAATGCAGATACAACTTCGTTCATCTTAAATGATTTGTATACAATTGTAAAATGATTCGTCGATAAAAGTGATTCACATTCACATCAATCAATCATGTACATGCAGTAGTACAGTACGTCATCTACCATGAATGATGATCAGTTCACGTTGCCGCGACTTATCCGTCATGACAATGATGAGAATCGATGTGAACAAGATGAATAGAGAACGAGGGCAACTAGTATTTTCAACAAGCAAATAAACAAACAGACCAATCGACGAGATCACCATCTGCAGATTGATTTCCATTCATGTCGTTTAAACATCCTCATTCACATAATATGACTATTACTGAGTTGGCCACAAAGATGAATTTCTCAACCAAGATAATTCAACTACATGTTACAATCACTAAGCGAGACAAAACTGAAGAGTCTTCTTCCGTGAAACACACATCGTTTCAACAATCGAAGGCTCCATGTGTCAATCAATCTCACCATGTCTTTCGCTTAGAACTATTGATCTTTCTGGAATGTACTTGTCATTCACGCACACACAGAAACTACGAAATATGAAGGGACCATTGAGTCACTTCACTTCAGTAGGAAGAAGTTCGATGATGAGCATAGTCACTTTGTAGTGAGTAAACAACTACACTTGTAAACAACAACTTGTAAGCAACATCTTTACCAGCAAAAACAATTACCTACTTTCTAATAGTCAATGACATTTCACTGCAATACACTTAGGCATGTTCATCAGATGTAAGTACATGTACACGTGTATAGCATGATTCAATCTTGCACGTCAACACACAAACGCAAACACGCACACCAATCAAGTAAGTGAGTACTTCATGATTGTGAATTCATTTGTCAAACAAACTGCATGAACAATGAACGCCATCTCACAGGTCTACGCACAATTCTAATCTTCACGAATAATGATGATCATCAAGATAAGATAGAATGGTCAACCATAAATGAATTCTGTATTTAAACAATATCAACAGTGACACCTATACAGTTTATGAAACATGATCAGTCGGGTAAATGTATATCACCGACAATCCTGGATGAAAACAGTCAATTTCTTCTTTCAGGCTTATTTTAGATGAACATACCAAGTATCCGTTATCTCGTGAAACTGTGTGCTGTGACAATCAAATTGTTGCACTTTGCACTACTCACCTAGACAAGTGTCTACGTATACATACATAGTACATGTTCACACCACTTTTGTTGACAAAAATAAAACCAGTGTACATTCTCCTGGAAAAAGATGAAAACATGAAAATTCAGCTCTACAGGTACCACCCGTATGGCATCACTAAAAACTTCACTATTAATTACTTACTATCATCTCGTATACGGACAAGGTTCAACACATTTACGGACTGGTTCAGACGGCATACATCGATTCGAAACAGGTTTCTCGTCTCTGATACGCACAACTTGGATACAAAAAAATCATTTAATTCACTCGTGAACTGACACTCGCGATGATAAACAGATACAAACAGCAAGTCACCATAAAAAATCCACACCTTTAACATGTAACAAAATCATCCACACACGAAGATGAAGAGCATACATACTTGATGGCAGTTGATGTGCATTGTTATCTGGTATACTGATACCATCTTCCTCTTCGTCATCATCATCACCTGTACTTGCTTTCCAGTCCCAACACCAACACCAACACCACAACTAGAAGCTTCCGCAGCATCTGGACTAAGACCAAGTACAATACTCGATCTAGCCATCGACAAAACGACCACTTTGCCATTGTGAGGCAAGTGTTCCAAGACCATCACCTGAAGACACTTTTCTATCATCCAAACCTCGACTGTTAGGCTCTAACACTCCCCCACCCACACCGCCGGTACCTTCTTCATCATCACCACCCGCCTTCTCAATTAAATTATTCCGTGCAATCTCAGGATCATGTACACCAATCAGTAGACTATAGTCGATCAAATTGTTTTCTTGTAAGAACTGTGGATTAGACAAAAGAGAAATGACAAACAATCATTCGTATAGAATGTCAACCAAAAAGACTGGAGGGAGGATATCAAAACACTAACTAGTTGGTTATCTAATTAACCCTTATTGATTCTGGTAAAGGTCATCATTCACCACATGTCAATGTGATCTCATTTTACTATGAACAGTGTGAAAAACACAATCCCCCACCTCATTCATAATACAATCAATAATGAAATTTCGAAGTTAGTTATCACATGAAGATTGTACGTAAACAATAAATTACCAGAACATCTCTCTCAACGAACACACAATAACCTGTAGGGTAGGCGTTAAACAGCACTACGATCAATATCATTTCAGTTGACAGGCATCTATCAATTGGTACCACTCTTTAGACTTTATCTTTGTAACTAATGATCTAACATGACCGAATGATGAATGATAATGTCGTTTCCAGCAAAGTCGAATTTCAACGTGTTTGCTTTGTATCAGAGTAAATTAACGTAGGAGATTTAGTATAAGAAATGTTCTGGGTATCTAGTTGTAACACATTGCATCAACGTACAGAATACACACAATTGGCAAGAGATACGTAGAATGAAATTGATTTAAAAAATGATTAGACAGTACCGATCACCTCTTTTCCTCAGATGCATCGTATACTTCCACACTCAAAGAAATGTTGATTACTGGACACGCTACTGCACAAATTGTGGCACCACACACCACCAACCCATAATGATAACAATCGATCGCCACACCACAAACACAAAAGTCCAATCCAATTTAAATACAACGATACAACAACATCTACACTATTCATCATTTCATACTTTAATCATGAAGTTCAAAGTGTAAGTGTAGATAAGACACTAACATATCACACCATGTGTGTGCTACACAACAACAGAGCAACAGTACTTTGGTACTATAAACAGTAACTACAGATACACACACACACACACTCATTTCGTTCACATGATCAATGCACGCAGCAGTGCTGCATCAGAATTGAAAGAAGACAAACAACCACAACAACAACAACAACAACAGAGGCAACAACAAACAAACTTTTCAAGGTTTCACTTAAATCACACGATGACGAAAAGATGTTCACCTCATTAGTGGATTAAGTGATATAGAGAAGATGAATACTATAAAATGTCTCTCACACTGATTACCAACACACCATTTCAACTATTGTACGACTACTACACAATCCACCTTCAATTGATGATATACTCATCAGATCAAGGTCTCTCTGGTACTTCATTAAAACAAATAGAATGTATGAAATGAACCTTGTCAAGAAGGTCATGCACCACAACATCACTTTCATTGATCACACAAACACATAACTATAAGCACAGTGTATACTCACAAAGGACAAATCACTGAAATTATTCTTAGCGGGACATTTCTGTCAGACAACACTGCAGATTCGTCTATAATAGTAACAGTAAAATACAGCTAATCACATGGCAAAAA